TTATCTTTGGATAAATGAATTTTCTAATTGTATGCAAACAATTTTCCATTCGCTTGAAAATTTCTCGACGTATGCCGAAATACGCAAAAAGTAAAATTAACAATAGGAAATCCAAACTTTGGATCACTCTCCTGACCAAGCTATGCGAACCATATTTCCCAGATCACGGCTACCCCCTATATTTTGGTGGTCGGAAATTTGAATCTGGTGAAAATGCGTTGAAAAAGTGCATTTTTGAGTTTGATTTTATAACATAAAATATCATCTCAACTAATTAATTAGCATATTTGAGGTCACCCCCTCAAACCATTAAGATTGAGTCCCAGAACTCGAAGATCCTATCATTAGATCAAAAGTAATTCAAGGTGGTCCTTTTTTTCATCACACTATACTTGGCGAGAGAGAAAGGTAGACTTTATCTGTAAGATTTTTACTAAGAATGCCAACTCCCATATTATTTAATGTGTGAATTTCTTATAAATAAGTATTTTTAGAGATATTGATTTTAACTTATTAGATTCATTAGAATTTATTACCATACTGCATGTAATGATAATTCGATGTAAAAGAACCATAATTCTGATCAATAAAAACAAAATATAACGTATTTAAACCACTTATTCGAAAATGTTTTCGTGGCTCATATCGTAATGTTCCGGAAATTTTGGTTTTCAAAATTATTGGTCTAATTACCACACACGTACTAAAAAATACAAAGCTGAAAAGTAAATTTAACCGAATAAATGGCTTTCATGGCGTGCTGTAAGGTGTCATGATAAAATTACCAAATTTTAAGACAGCCATCAAATTTTATTACATATTATAAAACCATATTTTCCTGTTAATTTTACAATAATTATTACCAAAGCGTTTCGGTAAGAATTACTGAGCTTTTTGGTGTTCCCATAGAGCCTGAAACACGGTAAATTTTACCAACACTGAAAACTTTACCATATTCTGGTAGTTTTAACCATATTTTTTTCACAGTGTAGAACTATAACGAAAAGCTCTCCTTGTACCAAATAACTCGGGACTAGTCACGCAGACACGATTCCCAGCAGATTACCGAAGTCAAGCATCACTGGCTGCAGTCATTGTGCGGGTGGGTGACCACTTGGATTAGTTTACGTAGGGACGGAGGGTGTGCGATATTGGTCCTCGTTAAATTGTTCTACTGTAAAGTGCTCGTTTTCGCGTGCAGGTCGTCGGGCTACTGAAGCGGGGGTGCCATCCCCTCTGCAGAGGATCAAAATTGTGATGGCATGTCTTCGGATCATCCTCAGGGATGTTTCCCACACCGTCGCCAATAGCCCATTGTGCAGCTCAAGTGCGGCGTAAATTAGCTACAACTACAACTACAACAACAATTCGGGGCTAGATAACCTTTTGGATTCGGTTAAGAAGTGAGTTCACAAACGTGTTTGTGACAAATCGCATCCGATTTAAGCCGTTCACTTAGACTTTGAAGACGCAAATCGAACAAATTGTTGACTTCGGCTTTCTACCCTCTACTCCAACATGTTGCATAGATTTTCGAAAAGATAAATTGAAAAAAAAAATGAAAATTTTCATTTGATACAAATGTGTATGCTTTTAAATTGATTTATTACAAAATGACGATAACGACATTATATGTGAAAGAAAAAAAACTTATCAAAAAAACAGGTTTCAAAAACATGATTGACCGGTCGAAATTTTAATTTAAGTTTCCCCAATTGTAGTTCACAATATAACTTATAGGCTTTTATAAGTTGGAATTTTTAGAAATATCAATTTATACAAGTTTAGATAGTTTAGAATAAAAAGTTCAACAGTTCGATCGAGCATGGAAAAAATTATTAATCAAATCTGTAAAAAATGGAAGAAATTATGAACGTGGCCAGTACTATCTTAAATTATGCAAATTAATAGAATTAAGCAAAATAGAGGTAGCTTAAAACTATACATTGGCAAAAGAAATACTATTAAATATTTGAGTTGCAAACTAAGAAACATGTTCATTCAAGCAAAAATGATAAATCTCAATTTTAAACTCTTGAAGATATAAAAAAAAAGAATTTTTCTTATCACTAATATTAATTTAACCTTAGACCAATTATATCGTTTGATGACCGAAATTCGTAATGCACTAAAATGCTAAAAAAAAAGAAAAAAAAAGAACGTAAAACTTTTGATTTAATTATCGGATTTTTACGTTTTAGGGCTCAATCTTAAAGTTTCGAGGGCGTGACCTTAATTATGCTAATTAATTAATGCAAACGATATTTTAAGTCGCGATATCTCAGAAACGTACTTTCTCCGAAGAAAAAAATTTTTTTTTCAATGGATTCGGATTTCTGACCCCAAATTCTCAGATCGATTGACCTCGATTTCTCAGAAACTGTTCGACCAATTTCACACAAAGCTTGCATTTTGCCATGTAAAATTACATACTTTAAAATGATGTAAAAAATTTGTATACCTTACAATTCAAAATTTTTACGATTATTACTAAATAAAACAATAAATATTTATTAAAATTTATTTTTTGCATAAAATTGTCTTTGAACAAATGAATTTTATTATTGTGTTCAAAATTTTTTAAATTCACTTTAAAAATTCTCGAGATATGGCAAAATACGCAAAAGCGAAATTAATATTAAGGGGTCAAAACTATGGATCGCTCTCCTAACCGAACTATGGGGACAATATTTCCCAGACTGCTGCTACCCCTTATATTTTAAGGGTTAGAAACCCGAATCCGTTAACAAAAAAGGCATTTTTATTCAGAGAAAGTACGTTTTTGTGTCTGATTTCATAATTGAAACAAAATATTGCCTGTACTAATTAACTAGCATATTTGAGGTTATACCCCACGAACCATTAAGATTGAGTCTTAGAACATAACGATCCAATCATTAGTTCAACAGTTATTCTGGGTGATCCTTCGGCGGACTGTACTTATTTCAAATAGATAAAAAATGGTGATGTCAGTCTATTTTAGAAAGAGATAATGCAATGATAAAGCTACCACATAATTAAATAAATAACGCAGTTATTATGTTACATTTCATAACTTATTCTCTAAATAATTTTAGAACAATTTTTAATCAAAATTTTAATACCAGTATTTTATTTTTCTGATTCTTCTTAATTCTGCCTTTAAATCAATTGATATTAATACGTATACCTAAAACAGCTAATAGATGGTAGATTTTCCTCTACTTTATATTAAGGTATTTACATCGTACAATTCGTAATATTACGGTATTATTTCATATTATAGATTATTTCGTAATATGGTTTTATTAATTAAAATTGCGATTATATGACAATAATACAATCAAGCGTACGACAGTTTCATAGTACATTATCAATCTATGTAATAAATTACGATATATACAAAAAAAAAGGAGATTTAAAAATTAGGACATAAAAAATTGCAAACAGGCAGTTACCAGTTATGCCAGGAAAACTATAAGATTAGTTTGTTTTCAACTATAAGATTAGTTAATTTTCAACTAAGTGTACTTTTTTTAGGACATATATTTTTATAATAGCGATATTTTTTATTCTTGATATCTTAATATCTTTTTTTAAACTTTATAAATTGTAAAAAAAGATTTATTATATTTTTTAAATTTTTTTTTTAAAAAAAGATGAATTATCATATTTTTATTACATCCCCCCCTCGAGTACCAAAAAACTGAATTTAAGAATTACTGAATTAAATTTAACGGCTTATAGATGATGGTTTATTGGTTAGTTTTTCGACTAGCACGAATATTTTCAAAAATTTTTTTGGTTTCAATAAATAAGCAAAAAGAAAGTTATAAAAAAGAGGAGAAATAGTATTTTATTAACGAAAACATTGAGTCACCTTTTCCAAACAAACATAAGAAGCTGACGAAAAAAATAAGTTAAGATGGAATTAATAAGTTTAAAACTATTTTTAATCCATGGGATTAATTTTATTTGTCACCGCATGAAAGTTGCAGCAGACTTGTTCGATATTGTGGTTCAAAATTTCTAACAGTGAAGTGTTGACTGCTTAATAACATTTAATCACGAAACAGAAGAAATTTTCATCAATTTTTTTATTATATTTTTTCTTGAGTAATTAAAATATTGTAAAATTAATGTCAGTATAATAAATTATGATTTATAAATGAAATAATTATGGTTTATAACTGAATTAAATTTAACGGTTTATTGATTATAGTTTATTGGTTAATTTTTCTAAAAGAGCGAATATTTTCAAACAATTTTTCGGTTTCAATTAATAAGCAAAAAAATTAATATGTTACAAAAAAGACGAGAGATAGTATTTTATTAACTGAAACATTGAGTTGTCTTTACCAAACAAACAAAAGAAGCTGCAGAAAAAATAAGTTAAGGTAGAATAAGTAAGTTTAAAACTGTTTTTAATCAATGGAACTAATTTTACTTGTCACTGTACTAAGGTTGCAGCAGACTTGTTCGATATTGTTGTTCAAAGTTTCTAACAGTAAAGTTTTGACTGCTTAATAATATTTAATCACGAAACAGGAGAAATTTTCATCGAATTTTTTATTATATTTTTTCTGGAGTAACAAAAATATTATAAAATTAATGTCAGCATAATAAATTATGATTTATAAATGAAATAATTATGGTTTATAACTTAATTAAATTGAACGGCTTATAGATGATGGTTTATTGGTTAATTTTTCTAAAAGCGCGAATATTTTCAAATAATTTTTCGGCTTCAATAAACAAGCAAAAAAAAAAAAAATTATAAAAAAGAAGAGAAATATTATTTTATTCATTGAAATATTAAAGTTTTGACTGATTAATAACATTTGATCATGAAACAGGCGAAATTTTCATTAAATTAATTAAATAAAACTTCACAAAAATTCCAATAGAGTAGATGTTTTATTACTTAAAATTAATTCTGGACGAAAATTCTTAAAAATTTCCTAATGGAACAAAACATTTCACTTTATATTATAGAATAAACGATATAATTTCCGACGTACCTTTGGTTTTTCATCGTCAGTTTTCTTAAAGGGCATAGCCATCCCATTATACTTTTTACGTGAAAACCTGCCCATACTATTTTTTTTTTAATCTTTGGCGCTTATTACTGTAAATCTCGTTGGAAAAAAGATGGTAACTGTTTTCTACCATGGAATGAATGGATGTGAGGGACCATCCTTCCCCGCGCGGATTCTTGTTGCAAGAGAGGGCGCTAGTGTAACTTTTTACCGGTTTTTAAAGGACCAATGAAAGTGGTTCATTTGACTGATAGAGGAACTTGTGGAGGACTGATCCTTGGAGGAGAGATCTAGAGATTTGAGATGGAGTGGAGAGGCTGGAGTGTTAAGAACTGATTTTAGAAGCTTTTCAATTAGTCTCTCGTAGACTTTCTGATGGAAACAATCAGAACGCCCGATATTTCGTTTATACTTTGGACTTATTGTTTCATTTATAAAAAGTTGAAACAAAATAATCTTTATTTTAATTACAATAACTTATAATATAGATATAAAAAGTTGCAATGTTTGTTCCAATCAATAAAATATCAATATAAATCGGTATGAAATATAGGTATCAATAAAAGTATTTACGTTTCTCTTAAACGAGTTAGTATCATTTCTCCATTAATTATGCTGTTTAGCACCTAGTTTATTTTTTTGTTTCAATTAGTACCTGCTACCAAAATTAATTCAGCATCAATGGTGTCAACAATGGTTTGACAGTTTCCTTAATCAGTTTTCCTCCATTGAATTCAATTTTTAATATATAACTAATATAATTTAATAATAATATTAATAATGAATTAATAATGATAATTAATTAATAGTGATAATTAATAATAATTATTAATTAATCGTAATAATTTAATAATAATGATAATAATTTAATAATAATATTAATAATGAATTAATAATGATAATAATTAATTGATAATTATAATTAATTAATAGTGATAATTATTTAATAATAATTATTAATTAATCGCAATAATTTATTAATAATAATGATTTTAATTTAATAATAATATTTTTAATAGTAATAAGCTGAATACAAGTATAGAAAATTGCAACACTTATTCCTTTAATTTAAATTTTCTTTAATTGGATTATGTAAATGTCTACTTAATTGGTGAATATTACTGAAATTAATTATGCAACTTTGGCATCTATAAAAGTATGGCAATATCTTCCGTTTTTCTCTAACGAGCTCTTACCATTTCTCCATTAATCTTGCTTTTTAGAACATAGGTTATTTTTTTATTTCAATCAATACCTAGTACAGAAATTAATCAAGCATCATTGGTGTCGATAATAATATGGCGATTTTTTGCGTTTTTCTTTAAAAGTTTAGAAATGAATTTCGTTTTTCAACACATAACTTATTTATTTTGTTTCAAATACTGTTGAATTTAAATTATTCAGTTTTAATACAAACATCTTTTTACATCATAAATATAAACAAAATGAAAATGTGGTTTCAGAAAACAGCTTTAGAATGACATAAAGAATTAAAAATAATTTACTATCTAAGAACGTGCAATTAAATTGTTTTTCTTAATGCGAGCTGTAAACTAGCAAATATCCCTGAAAATGTAAGCGAAAAACAGAATCGGCTGCAGTTACATTTTCAGCCATTGGATATTTGCAAGTGATGTCACGCGTTGGTCAGCTAATCAAGTTCGACACACAAGCGTCACGTAGCGTATAGGTACATAATTAATCTTGATTCGAAAATTGATTCAAAGGGGTAATAAACTCAACCTTAAAACTCCAACGTTAACACGACATGCACAACCATGTGATTAATTACAAATTTTAATCCGATAAAAAAATTCCATTTTTCAAACGTCTCTTCCGAACGATTTAATTAAAATTTTTGAGTGATTTTCAGGAACGGGGGTAAAACTGCCCCTTTCACCCTCTGTAGCAGGAGTCTGGCATATACAGTTCAGGGGTTATAAGCAAGAGAAGCACGCAGACAGTTTCACAGAAAAACTCTTCTCTTTATTATTGTGAATAAACATTGTTATACTCAAATTTTAAAATTCTACTAAATAATAAAGTGAACAAACTAACTAAAAATATAAACTTTTAATTTTTAAATTTCTGTAATGTCTTATAAAACAAAAACAACCCATTCTAAAAGTTTTGATGTTATAAATTGTATAATATTAAAACTTCGATCTTAAAACTTTCATTGCTTGGAAACTTCGATCTGTCATTGGGTCTGTTCCCCGACACAAAGTTTTTGAGCCACCCCTTCCGATTTCTTCAGCTTTTGAGAAGTTTGACGGTATAAGTGGTCATTAAATGCTCAACGGTTGATTTTTTTATTAATTTGATTTATAATTTTCACTTGAACCAATATCTTAAATACTTCTTTCAGAAAATTAAACTACAATAAAAAAAGATAAAATCTTTAAAAAAAAAAAAAAAAAAAAAAAAAAAAAAAAAAAAANAAAAAAAAAAAAAAAAAAAAATCAATTCACGATTTTTGCAAACTTAGGGGACATTCCTATCGAATTCGGTTTGATCGTTTTACTTTAAATGCATCAATCAAATTCTCAATTTCTGAATGGGATTTTTTATTTTTATGAAAAAGTGACAAAAATACTGTCGGTGCAGCATTGGAAAATATTCTTTACTTAAATGAAAAGTTTGTTTTCAAAATTGAATCGTTTTCAAATTTGGATTCTACGCAAAGTGTTTATTTATAACAAAAAGAGAAGGAAATAATATCACCACTCTTCTTTTAAATTAAAAACCGATTCAACTTTTTAGTTCGTTTTCGAACTACATCGTCAGAACAGTTTGGAGTGACTCCAAATGCTCCGTGTCGAGGAACTGACCCAATATATCTATATCTAGTTTATTAAATTTCCCGTTTTTTTACAAGTAAAATTGGTTTCTTTAATTTATCTTTTTTCCTTGATAACTAATTATGTTTAACAACTTTTTTTGACCTATCTTTTTCAACGCATCTTTCAAAAATCCATCTGAAAATTTTTTTAAAATCAGTCATTACTTTAATAAGCACCTATCTGAAATAATTTTTTCTTTAATTCTCTATTATAATTAGCTTATAATAAAAAAAATGTAGAGGTTTAGAATAACTAATTACACAATAATATTAACAACAAACTGAAGAAAAAAATACGAAAGATATTTCATTATCATTCGAATAAAACCAATGAACGAAAATAAATAAATAATGTAATCAGTAAGCGCAAAATTTACGCTAATAGTAAAAGTTGGTAATTTTCGTTTTTCAATTAAGGAAAGTGCATATTATACTCGTGAAATAGCAATGTATCTTATTTTTGTAACTAGAAAATTCATTATTGATATTTCATTATTAATAATTTATATGCATTGAAATTTTATCATAAGAGTTTCTGGAAGCATTTATATGAATCCAGAAATTGTCATATTTTTTTTTCTAATTAATTTTTTCTCATAGCTATTTTGCCAAACGTAAAACTGCAGAGAGTTTGAAAGTGTGCTAACTTTTGTGCTGGAAAACAAAGAATTAAAATATGGAAATTGCATTGAAAAACAATCATAATTACCTGCTCCTATTTTTGCGAAAATATATTAAAACTCTTTCTTAAACTAAATGAGAAAAATGATTTATTGTTCTCCGATCACTTTTTTCCAACTTCTCACAATTTGTTAAATGCTAAATTATGGCTTTATTTAATTTAAAGTTGAAGTTACGTAATTAAATATTTTGGCAATCAAATTACGGTATCAAGATTACGGCTCTTTAGAGGCATTATTCATAATATTCATTTTTACCGTAAAATATTATACCATAAATTTCACAGTTTGCTTAAAGTAATTCTGTGATTTTACGGTAATTATTACTGTTTTTGATAATACAATTGTCTGTTTTTAAAAATACAAGTTTATTTAATTAGAGTGATTCAGTAATTTTACAGTAATTACTACTTACAAAATTACAGTATTGTTTAAAGATTTTATGGTAAATAGTACCGGCATCTTAAATGCTAGTACTTTATTCCGTAATTTGATCCGGCAGTTTTTACAGAGTAGGATTGAAAACTCCAATGGCTTTAATAATCAGTTTAATTTATAAATATATTTATTCATTTAAAAAAGAGGAGTTCTAATTAAATTTTGAGAAATATTTAAATTTTATTATTATTATTCATATTATAATCATTAATATCCTGGTAAATATAATATTGTTGTTCCTGTAAAAATGGATTTTACGTTAGAAAGTACCAGCATCCTGAGTGCTAGTACTTGATCCAAAATTTTTTTCAGCTGAAAATTGCAGTGTCTTATAATAAATTAAATATGCGTTATCAATTAAAAAATCAAAGAGTTCTAATTAAGTTTTGAGAAATATTTAATTCTTATCATTATTCATAGTGCAATTATTAATAACTTGAAAAATAAATCAAATTGTTTTACTTTCGTAACTTTTTACTTCATAATAGGGTTCAACTTTAAGTGTCATTCTATTTATTCCAGGAACTCATATAAATACGAGCGAATTTATACAGATAGTTAACTAAAGCACCGCACGTTTTCCTACTAAAGAGCCAGTTGCACATGCTTAAATAGAGTAAATAGAATGCTAATTTGCTTTAACAATGAAGAACTCACACTAGAAGATAGACTATGCACATAGGCTTATTTTAAAGGGTAATTTGAGAGCTGGATTTTGTGAGAAACAATATACCACAGAGCTGGAGTGACTGATGATTCGCTTGATTAGGCACTCAAAATTCCTCATATGATATTTGGTGGTGCTCCTCTCCCATCAGGATTAGTGTGCACTTAGATGGTTTGCATAGTAATAATAATCAAGGGGGATTTGAATGGTTTCGTCGGACACTTAGAGAGTTCTGCGCTCTCATTAAACTTAGTGCTTTGTATTGATAGCATTAAAAGAAAAACAGCGTACCTCGATAAAGTGTAGAATTTAGTATATTATGTAATATAATTGGAATATGAGCTCAAATAGGAAGGATTTAGATGATTTTTTTGTTAGCCAATGATGACGCACATGTATTGTAAAATTACAATCTTGAATGTAAAATTATTTACAATAAAAATGATATCGTTGATATTATTACGTTTTGACATAATGTTTAAGTATTAAGATTTTGTGTTATTTCTTCGTATTTCGTTGTAAAGAAGGATTACTTTCTTTCCT